GGGGGAGCTCATTCCAGATCGTAGGTGCCCCTACAGAGAAGGCTCTCCCCCTAGGGGCTGACAGCCGACATTGTTTGGCCGACGGCACCCGGAGGAGCCCCTCTCTATGGGAGCGTACTGGATGGTGGGAGGCTATTGGTGGTAGCAGGCGGTCCCGTAAATAACCAGGTCCTAAGCCATGGAGCGCTTTAAAGGTGATAACCAGTATCTTTCCCCTGGAGTGGGATGGGAATGGAGATTTTGCAGTATCCTTCGCCTGCCACTCCCATCAAGCCACGCCAACCGGTCGTAAAAAAATTTGGATTTCACCACTGGTCGAAGATAAGTCGGGCTGAAGAACAGCTGGAACCTATTCCCGATGTGTGCATGCACAGAGCTGCCAGGAGAAGATGGACAGTGAATGGCCTCTCGCATAGGGAATAAAGAGGAGCGAAAGGGGAGTGGAGTTTGCAGGAGACAATTAGTCCATTTCATTAGTATGAAGATCTGTTCGTGACTCTCAGAGACTCTTTGCCAAGTATTTTCTTCTACAGCATTGCATTTGGAAGATATCGGCCTCTGTAATGATGCGTGTGGCATCAAAAACACAGCGATATAGGATGGAATTGCTGTTGTGGTCCGCCAGCAGCCTGCGGAACTGGCAGCAGAGTCGGACAGCGATGAGGCTGAGGAAGAACATGGGCTAGTCCTGGAGGCTGGGGAAGGCTGGGGAAGGCCCGGATGAGGGCTCTGCGTCAGAGGCAGAGATGGGACCAGGGCCATCGGGGAGTGAGGTGCAGACTCCGGAGCCTCCAGAGACTGATAGTGAGTGAGGCAGAGGAACAGGAGGAGTCTGTCCCTAATGCACGCATGAGAAGAGCTACCAGAAGACAAGAGCAGCTCAAGCAAAGAGGACAACTTGGGAGTAGGGCCAAGAGATGATTGACCCCTCCCATAAGACTTAAAACAGATCAGCAATGACCTTTCGGCTTTGCCGGAAAACAAGGTTGGTAGCTTCGTCTTCTTCTCCGTCTACATCTTGCATTTATTTTTGTATCTAGGACTTCTGAACATTTGCCAAGAAAGGATTTTGGCAGTTTGCCTAATTGGACCAAGGTTTGCGATAGGACTGAGGAATTTATGTTGGGAGGAATTTGCTTTAATTTAGTTGAACGATGCTGGGAAAGAAGTAATTCTCAGCTGTTTGAATAAAGTTTGTTTTTTCACAGATTGATTTTCCTACTTCTTACTTGGGCCTGGGTCACAACAATTGCACCCGGGTGGGCAGATGGGTGGATGGGCGTGTCGCAAGTATCATTTCGCTCGAACCGGTCCAAACCAGCAGCGGCCGACCACTGGTCCTCACTATACATTATACTGTGTGCAGCTTGACATGCAACTAAACCCATCTATCCTCCAATAAAACAGACCTTCTGCATAGGTTTTGTTCTGTTCCCGTCTCACACACGCACACAAACAGTCAGCCAGGAGTTAAATAAAACTTGCAGACAATAAATTCCTTCGATAACAGGATTGGCAGCAACCCAGTAGCTGCTTGCCAAGAACTTTACTCACAGAGAATCAAAACAAATACACAAAGCCACAGAATTGTCAAGTCCAGTCCATATTAAATCCAAGGCAGGCAGATAACGTAGTTTCAGAGATACAATGCGACTCGCTAGTTGTTTAGTTTTGTCTGTCACAGAGCCTGAATGGCCACCACACCCCCTTTTATCCCCTGTGGGGTGTGGTCCAGTGACTCAGCTTAATTTCTGGCACGCTTCCTTTTCTGCTGTGTGCGCTTGTCTCTCCGACGCTGGCGTGGATCCAGCCAAGACTTATCTTCGTCACTATCCGACTGCGACTGCTTGGCAATACCTGGCTCCTGGCCAATCTCTTCTCCTTCGGGAGACACCAGAGGCATTGCCAGAGAGGAGGGTCCTGGAGAGGGAGGCCTGGCCAACTCCTCTCCTTCACTTTCGGAGCCTTCTCCCTCCGATAAGACAGGCTCGGGGGTCGGAGTCACAACAGGTTTGGATGCTTTATTAAAGGAACAGGATGGTGAAAGTGGGAAAAATAGAAACACACGCAATAAGAACCCAAATACAAAATTTGCAGTGTTGAGTTGCTGGTGAGTATAACAATGAACAAATACAGGTAAATCTAAATCTAACTAGCGATGCTGTGTGTACGGGATGTGGGTTTTTTGTTCTCAGTGGAACAAGTGCCACGGATTAGGCTGGATTCTCCCTGGCGCTTCTGTTTCCTCCAAATGCTAACGGAAATGGAGTCTGGCTTCCCAGGATGCTCTTGTTTTTTGGAATGAGGAATGCTGGGAAGATGACCCTTAAAGGGCCGGGTCTCAATAAAGATTCGTGTTTGGCCACTAGATGGTGCTCAAGATACGTTAAAGAACAACAATAGCAATAAAAATATGCACTCTGTATAAAAATACATCAGGGTTGTTAAGTTAAGTAACATATTTGTTTAAGTAGATCTGGCTTGTCTTTGCTTGCCAGAAGGTCGCAAAAGGGAATCACGTGATCCTGGGAAACTGCAACTGTCATAAATACATGCCAGTTGCCAAGCCTCTGGCTTTCAATCACGTGACCACGGAGATGCTGCACCGGTCGTGTGAAAAATGGCCGTAAGTCAATTGTAACTTTGAAGGGTCACTAAATGAACTGTTGTAAGTCGAGGACTACCTGTATTGGAACTTGGTTCCAGAGGTGGGTTTCAGCAGAACTTCTGACCAGTTCTGGAGAACCGGTAGCGGAAATTTTGAGTAGTTCGGAGAACCGGTAGTAAAAATGCTGACTGGCCCCTCCCTCATCTATTCTCTGCCTCCCAAGTCCCAGCTGATCGGGAGGAAATGGGGATTTTGCAGTATCCTTCCCCCTGGAGTGGGGAGGGAATGGAGATTTTATACTAACCTTCCCCTGCCATGCCCACCAAGCCACGCCCACCAAGCCACACCCACAGAACCGGTAGTAAAAAATTTTTTAAAAACCCACCACTGTTTCATTCTGCTTGGATCGTAAATGGGGCTGCATTTAACAGAGCCACTTTGAAATATGCATGCCATAGCTGCATGTTTGAGCATGATTTACGTGCTTAAATCTTAAGTTCTGTGATTGGCGTATCCAAATAAGAGCAGGGAAATCTGCAAAAAGACTGCTAAGGAAGGAGCTAAGGGTAATCGAAGAATTGCAGAAAAGAAGGAAAAAAATCCAGTCTACCTCTTTTTATGACTACAAATCCCCTAAAATCCCATTATACGGCTTACCTTCAATTCCTCTTTTCACGTGGGTGCAATACCAATGTAAAATTAAAAGGTTGTTGGAAACGATTGCTGAGAAAATGCATACAAAGCAGTTTTTGGAGTCTTGTATTGTTGCGTCAATTCTGAGTAGGACTACAAGATGGTTAAAGAGAGGGTTTAAGCATCGAATCTGAGGCTAAGAGTAGAGAAAACAACTTGCAAGTAAGAAAAGGGGGCAGATTTGAAAAAGAAGAGCAACAAAGATGATTAGGGGACCAGAGGCTAAAATATATGAACAAACGGCTGCAGGAATTGGGTAGGTCTAGTTTAATGAAAAGAGGGATGCGGCGGCTCAGTGGCTAAGACACTGAGCTTGTCGATCAAAAGGTCAGCAGTTCAGCGGTTCGAATCCCTAGTGCCGCGTAACGGGGTGAGCTCCCGTGACTTGTCCCAGCTTCTGCCAACCTAGCAGTTCGAAAGCAGGTAAATAATGCAAGTAGACAAATAGGGACCACCTTTGGTGGGAAGGTAACAGCGTTCCGTGTGCCTTTGGCATTTAGTCATGCCGGCCACATGACCACGGAGACGTCTTTGGAAAGCGCTGGCTCTTCGGCTTTGAAACGGAGATGAGCACCGCCCCCTAGAGTCGGGAACGACTAGCACATATGTGCGAGGGGAACCTTTAACTTTTAGTTTAATGAAAAGAAGGACTAGGGGTAGCAGTTTTCCAATATTTGAGGGGCTGCCACAAAGAAGAGGGAGTCGATCTATTTTACAAAGCACCTTAAGGCAGGACAAGAAGCAATGGAGGAAAACTAATCAAGGAGAGAAGCAACCTAGAACTAAGGAGAAATTCCCTGACAGTGAGAACAATTCATCAGTGGAACAACTTGACTCCAGAACTTGTGTGTGTTTCAACACTGGAGGTTTTCAAGAAGAGGTTGGACAACCATTTGTCTGAAATGGTATAAGGTTTCCTGCTTGAGCAGGGGGTTGGACTAGAAGACCTCCAAGGTCCCTAACCCTAACCCTTCCATCTCCGTTATTCTGCTCCGTTCTGTTATTCAAGATTAATCTTTTGATGTTTTGGATAATCTCTGCTGGTTTGTGCAGAAGTGAGAGCTGGCACAGAGCAGCCAAGATCTGAGAATGGTATAAATATGTGAGGCTTCTATTCAACTTCATATAAATCTTTTACCTCAGAGTGAAGGGTTTAAGGTGTTCACAGTTCTTTGTTTCCCAACCTCTCAACATCAACCTTTTCACTCGATTCCCTATAAATTTATAATCAAAAGGGAGGGGGAAGAAAAAAAAGAAGATTTTTCAGGCAATTGAAACAACACCTGCCTCCAGGTTACAGAACTGTTAAGAAAAAATACCTTGTAGTCTGACAGTGAAATGGTGTGTTTTTGTTTTCAACAAACGGCATCGGTTGGGAATAGATCGGAAGTTAGAAGAAGCATGCCATAACTAGAGTAGACCTCTTTTTTTTTAAAAGGAAAACTCATTTGGCAAAATCTGGCATTTGAGGAGAGGACAGGGCAGTGGACAAGGTTCAGATAAATGCTGGGTTCGGTATTTTTGTCCCAAAGGTGCTTTTTTTTCAAAAAAACAACAACTGGATTTTGTTTTTGCTTTGAAGATGTTTCACTTCTCATCCCATCCATCCATCCATCCATCCCATCCCATCCCATCCCATCCCATCCCATCCCATTCCATTCCATTCCATTCCATTCCATTCTCTGTCCCAATCAGTCCCACATATGCCGCTCTCAACTGAACCATTTTGCTCAAGTATTGTGCCATATTAAAAGTTGTTTTCAAATTCTGGCTGCACATAAGGTAAGTTGTTTTAATATGGGGTTCTCATTCGTTTAGTGTATAGACCAATGTACCATTCAAAGGATGTTCATCCCAAATTGTATAGCTAAAAGTCTGTAGAGAGCTATATTCTTTGCAGACAGTTGGTCATTTGCATCCGTTTAGAGGGTCGTTGAAGCACTTGGAGGTTTATCTGTGTCCTCAGGGTCAGCTGGGTGGTGGTCCTGGTTCCTGTAGTCTACAGGAACCATTATAAATATAAATCCTTCCATTCCCCACCATCCAGTCAGAGCTGAAGAAGCTTCTTGGATGAGAAGTGAAACGTCTTCAAAGAAAAAACAACCATGTTCAATGTCCAGAAAAAGCATCTTTGGGACGATGATAGAGTAGGGAAAATACAGATGTCATATGGATTAAACAAAGTGGGACACGGTGGCTCAGTGGCTAAGACACTGAGCTTGTCAATCGAAAGGTCGGCAGTTCAGCAGTTCGAATCCCTAGTGCCGCGTAACAGGGTGAGCTCCCGTTACTTGTCCCAGCTTCTGCCAACCTAGCAGTTCGAAAGCAGGTAAATAATGCAAGTAGACAAATAGGGACCACCTTTGGTGGGAAGGTAACAGCGTTCCGTGCACCTTTGGTGTTTAGTCATGCCGGCCACATGACCACGGAGACGTCTTTGGATAGCACTGGCTCTTCGGCTTAGAAACGGAGATGAGCACCGCCCCTTAGAGTCGGAAACAACTAGCACATATGTGCGAGGAGAACCTTTACCTTTACCTTAAACAAAATGGTGGGGAATGCACCAAAGCTTGAGAGACCAATAAAGCAGAATTATATATGCTCTACCTCCCTGAAAGAGTTGGAGGTTATCAGAGACAGAATGATAAATTCTGAAATGGACACGGTTATGATGTATTTATTGAAACCAGCACCACAATATACATCGAGAGGAACCACAGTGTAGCAAAGCAAGGTATTAGAAGCAGCATGCCTCCAATTCTTTGTATAATTAGCTGGAAATTTAACTCTATCAAAGTCAAGAAGGCTCACATCTGATAGCCCAGGACTCCATTTGTAAAACACATTAAGCTTTGAGAAAAGATCCACAACCATTTGCACTACAATTGACAGCTTATACGGTGCTTAAATGTTTGTTAACCCTTTTGGATTTTCAATGTTCCTGCATCTACAGTATATCATATGAGTACACCCCCTCATATTTTGCAAATATTTAAGTACTGTATATCTTTTCATGTGACAACACTGAAGAAATGACACTTGGCTACAATGTAAAGTAGTGAGTATCCAGCTTGTATTTACACAGCACAGTGTAAATGTGCTGTCCCCTCAAAATAACGCAACACACAGCCATTAGTGTCTAAACTGCTGGCAACAAATGTGAGTACACCCCGAAGTGATAATATCCAAATGGGGCCCAAGCAGGAGTGAAATGCTACCAGTTCGCACCGGTTCAGGCGAACTGGTAGCGGCGGCAGTGAGTGGTTCGGCGAACTGGTAGCAGCGGCAGCGCAAGGCTCCCCACATCTGCCTGGACGTGGTTTTAACCAGGAAGTAACCTGTTTTTGACCTTCTGCGCATGTGCAGAAGGCTTTGTGTATGCGCAAAGGGTCCAAAATCACACGTGACACATGTGTGCACTTCCGAACTGGTAGGGAAGGTAAGTAGATTTCACCCCTGGGTCCAAGTAGCCATTTTCCCTCCCTCGTGTCATGTGACTCGTTAGTGGTAGAAGGTCTCAGGTGTGAAGGGGGAGCAGGTGTGTTAAATTTGGTGTTATCACTCTCACTCTCTCATACCAGTCACTGGAAGTTCAACATGGCACCTCATGGCAATGAACTCTCTGAGGATCTGAAAAACAAATTGTTGCTCTACATAAAGATGGCCTAGGCCCGTGATGGCGAACCTATGGCACGCATGCCACAGGTGGCACGCGTAGCCATACTGGTGGGCACGCAAGCTCAGCTCCGGTGTGCATGAGCATGCTGGCCAGCTGATTTTCGGGCCTTCTGGGCCCACCAGAAGTAGGAAAACAGGCTGTTTCCTGCCTCTGGAGGACCTCGGGGGGTAGTGGGGAAGGTCTGTTTTTCTCTCTCTCCAGCCTCCAGAGCCTTTCTAGGGGTCTGGGGAGGGCGAAAACGGACTTTCCCACCCCCTGGAGGCTGAAAATGGCCTGGAAGTTGGCAAACGGGCCATTTCTGGCCTCCAGAGGGCCTCCAGGGGGGTGGGGAAGGTTGTTTTTGCTCTCCTCAGATTCCTAGAAAGGCTCTGGAGGCTGGGGACAGCAAAAAAAAGGGCCTACCATGCCATCGCATGCCAGGAGTGCGGGGAGCGTGTGTTGGGGGGGTTCGCACACGCATGCGCGGGGGCAGGACGCATAGAATTATGGATGTGGGCACCCACGCACGCACCCACTCCCTGCTCCTGGCCCGCAATGACAAAATGGAATGCAATGCAATGCAATGCCAGAATTGGAAGGGATCTTAGAGGTCTTCTAGTCCAAATCCCTGCTGAACAGGCAATCTTTGGCACGGCATAAGTCAAAAAGACAATACAGTGGAGCAAAATGAAGCTGGCTGGGAAAATGTTCTACATATGGCTTGACAATTGAAGGTTTGCCATGGCTGTTGTTGATTGTTCCCTCTCACAGAGTCACACTTTGTAACTGGCAGGTCGCCCTATTCCAATAAGGCTGACAGTCTATGTTTGCCCACAACATCCGCCATCTTAACCTTCTTAACTGTGCCTCCACCATCTGTGTCTTAGAGATGGCATTTTAATTGTTGATGATATTATTCCGGATCCAACTTTGCTCTGGAGGATTTGGACGGTAAAAATCACAGCTCCTAGTTGCCCAGATATGATTAGAATATTGCCAATGTTCATGTGTTTCTGTCACAGTCCCTGGCGTAGTTGACTCTTAACTTTGGATCCGGCTCCTTTTTCAGACATTACGGTTGAATCTCTCTTCATTTAATCTCTACGATACCAACCAGTAGATACCAATTCATAGAGATTAGATGTGGCTGAGACAGAATGATTGACCCAAAGTCATCATTTTCCAGTTTTCATGACTGAGGTAGGACCTGCTCTGTCCTATTCGGCTCCAACACCTGACTCACTCTCTCTCTCTCTCTCTCTCTCTCTCTCTCTCTCTCTCTCTCTCTCTCTCTCTCTCTCTCTCTCTCTCTATCTATCTATCTATCTATCTATCTATCTATCTACTGTCTATCTTCTACCTACCTACCTACCTAGCTATCTTCTATCTATCTATCTATCTATCTATCTATCTATCTATCTATCTATCTATCTATCTATCTTTCTTTCTTTCTTTCTTTCTTTCCTTCCATCCATCCATCCATCCATCCTTCTTTCTTTCTTTCTTTCTTTCTTTCTTTCTTTCTTTCTTTCTATCTATCTATCTATCTATCTATCTATCTATCTATCTATCTATCTTCTGTCTGTCTGTCTGTCTGTCTGTCTGTCTGTCTGTCTGTCTGTCTGACTAACAAGTATGTACTGGAGCACATAAAACCAGATATGTTACTAGAAGGAAAATAATAAAACTATATCTCACTTATTTTAGCCATTGTCATGTGGGAGAATTCACTGGAGAAAGCAATTATGGTTGGAAAGCAGTAAAAGGAATCTAGGCTGCCAAAAAACATGGTGGCTGGACACCCTCAAAGCTGTTATCACCCAGAGCATAGAACAACTCAAAGAAGTAGTGCAAGATCAGAAGATGTGGAGAGACCTGCCCCATAGAATCGCCAAGAGCCAGACATGACTGAATTGGTATCATCATCATCATCATCATCATCATCATCATCATCATCATCATTATCATCTATATGACTGTCCATCTTTCAAACAACTCTGGGCGGCTCCCAATAAAATCATTTCAACTATAATAAAAGACGTGAAATTAAAATTTAAAACCATGCAAATGCAAGTAGATCAATAGGTACCACTTATTTGGTACCTAACCCTAACCAATTTCACTTCCCGGTGGGAAAGAAACAGCATTTTGTGCAACTTGGCATATAGTCATGCTGGCCACGTAATCACAGAAATGTCTCGGACAATGCGGACACTCTCGGCTAGGAAACAGAGAGGAGCAGTGCCCCTAGAATCGGACAGGACTGGACATGGGGAAAACTTTATTGGTTCGATTTATTTATTGGTTCGATTTATATGCCGCCCTTCTCCGGAGACTCAGGGCGGCTTACAATGCGTTAAGCAATAGCCTTCATACTTTTGTATATACCCGCTTAGTAGGGCTTTCCGCCCCCCCTAAGCAGTGTTCTTTTTAATACAAAGTCAGCTTATTGCCCCCACAATCCGGGTCCTCATTTTACCTACCTCAAAAGGATGGAAGGCTGAGTCAACCTTGAGCCTGGTGAGATTTGAACTCACAGTAATTGCAGGCAGCTGGTGTTACTTAACAGCGCTTTAGTCTGCTGCGCCACCAAGGCTCTTGTTCTTTGCCTTTAATACCTACTTAGACAATATTGGTTGCTCCAAAATGTCCATGCAAACCTGGAAACCTTCAAACCTGGAAACCTGGAACCATAGATGACTTCAAGGTTGGCCTTCTCAATTCTTCTCCACATACCTGCCAAGGGCACAATAAAAGGCAGCCGTGCCTCATGGGCATCAGAAAAGTTTCCTCGAGGAAGGAAATAATTCCTGAATTAAGACATTAAAAACCCAATTTACTCATTTTCATTTGTCTTTCTCCCGGGGGGAGGGGGAAACTTACTCTCAACAACAGAACTCTTCTGCTCATTTTCTGAGACGAGTTTTTTCTGCAGTTTTTAAGGAACGACAGAACGGTGATTGACATAGACACAATGACTGACAGAGGCAGCATCTGGAATGGCAGAAACACTGTTTTTTGTTTTGTTTTTTTAAACTGCCTGATGGGACATAATTGCTGCCTCCTAAAATGTCATTCAGAAACCCAAGTGTTACAGGAAGCTGATATTGTTCCACAGTATGTCTTGTTAGAAAGAAAACGTGTGAGCAGAGACATGTGTGTGTGTGTGCTTGCGCACTTGAAGAATCGGAATAATAAATACGGCAACTCCAGAATGGTTTTATTTCTTCGTTTGAATTCTGAACTATTGAAAAAGTTATCTGGCCAATGCACACAGATGAAGACTCTTTCTGTTTCATGCACATTGCAGTTATTGCTATTGTTGTCACTAGCATTGCTATTATTATTTATTTATTGGTTCGATTTATATGCCGCCCTTCTCCGGAGACTCAGGGCGGCTTACGATGTGTTAAGCAATAGCCTTCATACTTTTGTATATTTGTTTGTTTATTTATTTATTTATTTATTTATTTATTTATTTAATCATATTTGTATACCGCCCTACTCCCGGAGGACTCAGGGCGGTGAACAGCCAAGATAAAAATACAAATAACATACAAAAGTTAAAAGCTGTTAAAAATAGATTAAATAATTTGGGCTCAAAAAGCATGAAAGCTGGCTGGCTGACTTGGGCCAATCACCCGGAGACGGTGAGTTCTAGTCCCACCTTAGGCATGAAAGCTGGCTGGCTGACTTTGGGCCAATCACCCGGAGACGGTGAGTTCTAGTCCCACTTTAGGCATGAAAGCTGGCTGGCTGACTTTGGGCCAATCACCCGGAGACGGTGAGTTCTAGTCCCACTTTAGGCATGAAAGCTGGCTGGCTGACTTTCGGCCAATCACCCGGAGACGGTGAGTTCTAGTCCCACTTTAGGCATGAAAGCTGTCTGGCTGACTTTGGGCCAATCACCCGGAGACGGTGAGTTCTAGTCCCACTTTAGGCATGAAAGCTGGCTGGCTGACTTTGGGCCAATCACCCGGAGACGGTGAGTTCTAGTCCCACTTTAGGCATGAAAGCTGTCTGGCTGACTTTGGGCCAATCACCCCGGAGACGGTGAGTTCTAGTCCCACTTTAGGCATGAAAGCTGGCTGGCTGACTTTGGGCCAATCACCCGGAGACGGTGAGTTCTAGTCCCACCTTAGGCATGAAAGCTGGTTGGGTGCCTTGGATGCAATCCCTCTCTCTTAGCTCAATTTATCTTACAGGCTTGTTATTATGGGGAAAATAGGAAGAAGAAGCACCTGGAGTTATTTCTAAAAATCATAAAGGTGGGATAAATGAGTAAGTAATTAAAATTTTGTTATTAAATGAACAAAAGAACCTTTGATAGAAGCTCCATTCCTTGAAAGCAAATACACGAAGCCACAGAACATCCTGCATTAGTATATCACTGTGGCTGTAACACTTCGCTGGCCAACAGAGGCTATGAGCCATGGTGGCGCAGTGGTTAGAATGCAGTCTTGTAGGCTAGCTCTGCTCACTGCCAGGAGTTCGAGCCTGACCGGCTCAAGGTTGACTCAGCCTTCCATCCTTCTGAGGTTGGTAAAACGAGGACTCAGATTGTTAAGGACAATATGCTAACTCTGTAAATTGCTTAGAGAGGACTGTAAAGCACTGTGAAGTGGTATATACCCTATTTCTCCGAAAATAAGACCCAACCGGAAAATAACTCCTAGCATGATTTTTCAGGATGCTCGTAATATAAGCCCTACCTCCCAAAATAAGCTCCAGTTAAGATTGTCAGCCAGATGGGTGCATTTAGTACTTCCCCCAGGAATACGACTGATCCCGGACCTCCGTACTTTCCGTCGAGCTTTGAAGACTTTCCTATTTCAGCAAGCCGGGCTGGCTTAAAATTTTAATGGGTTATTTATGGGCAAAGGGTTTTAAATTTTGGGAAGCCAATTTGATTTCATTCTGTTTTAATTCATCTTAATTTTTATATTGTATGTATTTTAATCTTGGCTGTTCACCGCCCTGAGTCCTTCGGGAGAAGGGCGGTATACAAATTTAATAAACCTAAACCTAAACCTATTTCCCCCAAAATAAGACCTAACCAGAAAATAAGCCTTAATGCGTCTTTTGGAGCAAAAAATTAATATAAGACCCGGTCTTATTTTCGGGGAAACACGGGTAAGTCTAAGTGCCATTGCTACTATGTCTTGCAAGAAATAGGCAGAACCTCTTTTATATACCTAAAAAAAAAAGCATCTAATTGAGGCAGATTGGCCCAGCTTTCTCCTTTCGAGCAAAGTATCGCATTGAGACAAAATCTGACTTCCATCCACAGTTCTGCTAATTGGCAACAATCTGAAAAGGTGCAGCAACCAGGGATACATATTCAGAAGGGGCCTGTGCTATTAAAAGATTTCTGCGCAGGAACGGAGTTCCTCTTTCAACAAAAGCGGTCGGCAGGCTACCGGGGGGGTGTAGGGGAATTCTAAGGAATTTTGGGGCCTCCTATGAGCTTCTCACGGGATGAACAAACCTGTTACAGGAACGGTAACGGCGCATCACCAGATCCCAGAAGGTTTGGCTGTCAGCGGCGAAGAGGAAAGAGAATTAAGTAGTTGGAAGGTGTGCCAAAGATAGCAGACGGCACACATGCCGAGTGGCAAGAAGCACCGAGGGGAAATTGCGGAGGCCCAAGCTGTGTTACGCACATGGCAATGCTGAAGGAGCTGCTGTCATTTCGGCAGTTATGGTAGATTTTGACGAAGGCTTCTGTGTCAGTTTTGATATCCCTGCTTTCCTGACTGTCTCATCGGTTTCGGTTGGCCAATTCCCTAACTCCCTCCCGAAGGAAAAATATTCATCCTACAATTGCATACTCAATTTGGTGTTCATTTCCTGCATTATACTTACAAATATGTTTTTCTCCTCATCTAACGTAGTTTTTTTTTTTTGCATATGTAGTTCCTTACTGAGCTGGACCCAGTTTGGTGCAATGGCTAGTAGTTAAGTCACCAGGCTAGAAATCGTGAGTTCTAGTCCTGTGGAGGTTTTGAAGAAGAGATTGGAAAGCCCTTTGTCTGAAATGGTACAGGGTTTCCTGCTTGAGTAGGACCTCCAAGGTGACTTCCAACTCTATTATTTTGTGACTCGGTTTAGTACTAGCATAGACACAAAGCTAGCTGGGTGATTTTGAGCCTAGAGAGAAAGGAAGGGAAGGAAGGTGGAAGGAAAGAAGGAAGGATGGAAAGAAGGAAGGGAGGGAGGGAGGAAAAGAGGGAGAAAGAGAGAGAGGGAATGAACAAGAGAAAGGAAGAGAGGGTGGAAGGAAGGAAGGAGAGGGAGAGACAAAGGAAGGAAGGAAGGAGGAGGGAGGAGGGAGGGAGAAAGAGAGGGGGGGAGGGAAAGAGGAAGAGAGGGAGAGTGGGTGGGTGGGTGGGTGGAAGGAAGGAAGGAAGGAAAACTAACTTCCTTACCACATAAGTGCTTTTTAGGTCTGCTTTTTTAAAAAAGCACTTTTTCCTCACTTGTGAATGCCCATATTCCAAGCGCACATTTCAGCAAGTAAATTCCAATTTACTTGCTTGCAAAGAAGGCACAGAAGAGGCTGTACTTCCTGAGAATGCTCAGGAAGATAAATCTATCTCAGCATCTACTTCTGTCCTACTATCGCAGCACCATTGAGAGTGTCCTGACATACGGCATTCTTGCAAGGTATGGGAGCAGCTTTGTAGAGGATAAAAAAGCTCTACAGAGAATCATTAAAACTGCCCAGAAGATCATCGGACTCCAGGTACCATCCTTGGACGACATCTTCGCATCTCGCTGTTTGAGGAAGTTGCATAGCATTCTCAGAGACTCTTCCCATCCTGCTTACAATCTTTTTGGACTGTTGCCTTCTGGCAGAAGATACAGAACAATTTAAAACTCGGACCACACATCTTCTAAATCGTTTTATCCCAGAGCTATAATTGCACTCAACAATGAACTAAAGGGCCACCATCAGTGAGCTGTTGGGCAGCATTACTTGGTCTGTCGTGTGGATGTTTGGGTGGTTTAGGGGTGGGGAATTATGGT